GTCAAAAGACTAGCTACAATGAAAATTAATGAATTAAGTGTGAACATGAGTTTATTAATTTGGATTAAAAAAAAAAATAAATAAATAAAATAAAAAAATCCTACCGACCGACCCAAAATTTCGGATTCCATGTTATGCAAAACGAAAAATTAACTTTGCGTGGCCTTATATATTTACATATGTTTTCTACATGATTTTTTTTGTAAAGAAGTCACAGTTTCTACCACTTATAGAAAGCTAATCTCAACATTATTAATTGTGGGGGCTGAGGCTGAAATTGGATTTGGCGGAAATTTTGGGTCACTATTTAGATCTATAAAACTTTTATTAATAAACGCTAACCCTAAATTTTAATCTATTGCAGAAAATCTAAAAAAATACGCTCCAAAAAATTTTAAAAATTTCAGCCACCACAATAATTTCGTTACCCAATGTCTCAAGTCAAGAATGAATTTCATGCATCTATGTCTACAAATATAATAAATGATCCAAAAGTTAAAGATATGCCTCAACTATATTCCGAGTCTACAAATGTAGTAAAAAAAGAATCTGAAGATGCCATGAATAAAATTCAATTTGTGCTAGTTGTTTTTAGGTATGTATTACTGTTGATTAACTTTTTAAATATTCAAAAAAAATATAAATACTAATCCGATTTGTTGAACACAAAGTCTCGCACTGGCTGTATTTTTATCAGCATTGGATCAAACTATAGTTGCAACTGCTTTACCGGCCATCGCATTAGAATTCAAAGCATTCGATGAAATCATGTGGATCGCAACGACTTATTTAATTACTGAGGTATATTTGATTCAACGTCGACTTACAACTATCATGTTGGCAATACGAATCGAAACTTATCCATGTGATATCTTTTCCAGTATCATCGTCAAAATTAACTACTCCAAGAACACCTTCGAGATCAGGTTTAACGTGAAAATTAAAACAATCAAATACATGAAAGATTTAAACTAATAAAACCTTAACACCAGGGTTAGTTTTAGAGCTTTAGTGTGAGCTTAGGGCAAGGAATATACCAAAATTTGATGAGGAATTTTTTTGTTATAGCATTAGACCGAGCAAAAAAGTGCATAATTTCACGTTAAATCTGATTCAGAAATCTGATTGGCGTGCAGAATTTTGGTAGTTGTTAAAATTTTACCTTCACGTGATAGTGTTTGTGACGCACATTTAAATTATAACGACACAGCATGCACGTGACTTATCTACGTTATCGGCACAGCAAATGATCGACACGAGTACATCAATC